GCTTGTTCACTGTATTAATGATTCTTTTGCCAAACAGAAGTTCTAATCTTAATGTAATATATATTTTTCCAACCTGGTTAATTCTATTTGTGTCCTGTTGAAGAAATCTTTGTCTATCTAAAATTCATAAAGATATTACTCTAAGATTTTTCCTTTTAAATTGCTTGTTTTATCTTTAATATGCTTTGATATTTGTATTTAAAATCCATCTGGGTTCACTTCTTATGTATGTTTCGGATATGGATTCAGATTAATTTTTTTCCATATGAACATCCAATAGATACACAAGAATTTACTAAAAATTATATCCTTTCTCCACTAAAGCTACAAGATCATTTTATCACTTTTATCATAAATAAAATGACTGAATATGTTGTCTTGACTATTTCTTCCTTTCATTTAAATTTTAGATTCTGCTTGACAAAAACCAAATCCAAACTATTGTTATTTTATTTGGGAGGTTATTGAACATATAAAACAGCTTGGGGAGAACTGCCATCTTTAAACTGAGAAAACTGTAGCATGCAATCAGTTACATTCTTTTTCATCAACAAATAATATTTCATTGTATGGACAGACCATGTTTTATTTACGCAGCCTTCGGTTGCTAGACATTGAATTCCTTTACATTTTTTTTGGCTATTCTGAATAATGCTGCTCAGAATATTTGTATACAAATTTTTGTGGGCCTGTGTTTATTTCCATTGGATATATACTTAAGATTGGATTTTGAAGGATCATATGGTAAGTCTATATTTAACTTTTGAAGAACTACCAGGCTGTTTTCCAAAGTAGCCACACCATTTTACATTCCCACAAGGAATATAAGAAGGTTTCAACTTCTCCACATCCTCACCAGGATTTGAAATTATTTTCCTTTTTGGTTTTCATTATCCTAGTGGGCTTGAAGTGGTATCTCATTGTAGTTTTGATTTTTAGTTCTCTATTTTTTTTCCCATTTATTTTTATTAGTTGGAGGCTAATTACTTTACAAGTCCCTTGGACTGCAAGGAGATCCAACCAGTCCATCCTAAAGGAAATCAGTCCTGGGTGTTCATTGGAAGGACTGATGCTGAAGCTGAAACTCCAATATGTTGGCCACCTCGTGTGAAGAGTTGACTCATTGGAAAAGACCCTGATGCTGGGAGGGATTGGGGCGGGAGGAGAAGGGGACGACAGAGGATGAGATGGCCGGATGTCATCACCGACTCGATGGGCATGAGTTTGAGTAAACTGCGGGAGTTGGTGATGGACAGGGAGGCCTGACATGCTGTGATTCATGGGGTTGCAAAGAGTCGGACACAACTGAGCAACTAAACTGAACTGAACTTGCAAATATTTTCCCATTTCTCACTCCCATGAAACGTGAGTTGACTTTTCATTTTCTTGATAATACTACTTTAAGCATGAAGGCTTTAATTTTCATGAAATCTAATTTTTTTTTTTCTTATGGTACTTGTGTCAGGTCTAAGAAGGTTTTGTCAAACTCAAGGCCATGGAAATTTAGTCCTGTGTTTTTTGTAATAGTTTTATATTTTAGCTCTTACTTTTAGGAATATAGTCCACTTTGAGTTAATTTTATGTATATAGAGGAAAAGGAGCTCAAATTTATTCTTTTGTATATGTTCAGTTTTCCTAGTACCATTTGTTAAGAAGGTGTTTCTTTCCCACACTGAACTGTCTTGACACCTTATCAAAATTCAAATGTATATAAATATAAGGGATTACTTCTGGGTTCTCAGCTCCATTACAATGATCTACACATCTATCCTCATGCCTGTATCATACTATCTTGATAACCACAGTTTTATGTTAAGTTTCAAAATCTGAAAACAGAACATATGAATCCTGCCACTGTTCTACTCTTTCAAGATATTTTTTCTTAGTTTGGATATCCTTAAATTTGCATATGTAGATTAAGATCAGCTTGTCATTTTCTGCAAAGAAGCCAGCTGAGATTTTGACAGAAATTATATTGAATAGATATATAGATCAGTTTGGGGAGTCTTGCTACCTTAGCAATATTAAGTTTCTTAAGCTATGAACATAGGTATATTTATACCTCTAATTTATTCCTACAATACTTTGCTGTTTTCAAAGAATGAATTTTGCATTGATTTTGATAAATTTATTCACAAACATGTTATTCTTTTGGTGTTATTGTAAGTAAAATTGTTTTGTTAGTTTCATTTTTCCTTGCTAATGTGTAGAAATACCACTGAGTTTTGTATATTGCACTATGCAATCTTTTGAACTCATTTATTAGTTCTCATAGCTTGTTTTGGTATTCTTTAGAATCTTATATATATAAAATCACCTGGAAATAAAATTTTTCTCTCTTCTTTTCAATCTTGATACCTTTTACTTTCTTGCCTAATTTCACTGGCTAGAACCTTCAATAAATATTGAATAGAAGCACTATTGTTCCTGAACTTACAGAAGAAAGCCTAGATAGAGTCAATGGCTGTACAACACTGTGACTATACTTAATGCCACTGAATTGTGCTCTTAAATTGGTTAAAATGGTAAATTTTATGATATGCACTTTTTACCATTGTAAAAAATAATAAGTATATATATACAATGGAATATTATTCAGCCATCAAATGGAACAAATTAGGGTCATTTGTAGAGACATGGATGGACCTAGAGTCTGTCATACAGAATGAAATAAGTCAGAAAGAGAAAAACAAATATTATATGTTAACACATATATGTGGAATCTAGAAAAATGGTACAGGTAGACCTATTTCCAAGGCAGCAATAGAGATGCAGAGAATAAACATGTGGATCCAAGAGGGGCAGGGGAGAGTGGGACAAACTGGGAGATTGGGATTGACATGTACACACTACCATGTGTAAAATAGATAGCTAGTGGAAACTACTATAAAGCACAGGAAGCTCGACTTTGTGTTCTATGATGACCTAGAGGGGTGGGATGGGGGTGATGTGAAGGAGGTCCAAGAGGAAAGGGATATATGTATGCATATGTCTGATTTACTTCATTGTACAGCAGAAACTAACACAACATTGTAAAGCAATTACATTGCAGTTTTTTTAAGTACAATTTATTCCATAAGCAAAATAAAGATTAATAAAAAATGTAATATAAATCCTAGAAGAACAAAAAATAAAATTGGAAGAAAAAGATTTAGAAAAATAATGGAGACAAATCTATTCAGAGTTAAATATTAACAACTTCATATTTCAAGAGTCTATAAAGTAACAAAAAGGAGAGAAAATAAAAACCTCCATAGGCTTAATAAATTTAAAGAATTTTAAAATCAAAGAGAAAATTCTGAGAGAAAAGGAAGTTTTCTTACAAAGGAACAGTAATCATAGTCACAACAGACTTCTTAATAGCTACCATGTATGTAAAAAGACAATGACATGTTTTTAATGCAAAGGGAAATACAGCTTTGATCCAAAAATTTTATATCCAGTAAAGTTGCTATTTAAATGTAGAGATGGTTTCAATTATTTTTAGATGTATAAAGCCTCAAAAGTTTTGCCACACAAAGAAACTTGTGAAGGAAATACTCAAATAAAAAGAAAGAAAATTTTTAGGAAATTCTGGAAGATGTGTGGAAATGCAGATGTGGAAGCAACTTAAATGTCTATTGACAGAAGAAAGGGTAAAGAAGATGTGGTACATATATACATTGGAACAGTACTGTCATTTGAAACAAAGATGCCATTTGCAGCAACGTGGAAGCACCTAGAGATTATCATACTGAGTGAAGTAAGTCAGGCAGAGAAAAACGATTACCATATGATATCACTCATATGTGGAATCTAATTTTTAAAAGATACAAATGAATTTATTTACAAAACAGAAACAGACCTACAGATATGGAAAACAAACTTATGGCTACCAAAGGGGAAACACTGGAGGTGTGGGGGGAGATAAATCAGGGTATGAATATGCATGTGATACTTTATATATATATATATATATATATATATATATAACCTTATATATATATATATACACACATACTTACATACTGTATATAAGATAGATAACCAACAAGGATCTACTGTATAGCATAGTGAACCCTATGCAATTTCCTGTAATAACTTATATGAGAAAAGAATCTTTTAAAAAATGAGTCAATATATGTATATGTATAACTGAATCACTTTGCTCTACACCTGAAACTAATTCAATAGTATAAATCAACTCTACTTCAATAAAAATTAAAATAAAAACACTCAAAAAATAAAAAATATCCTCTTGATGGCAAAAAAAGATCAAATATTTCTTTAAAATTTAGGCTCTTCTAAAAGGGTTAAGCTAAAAGAAAAATTATAAAGTATATCCCTTATAAATAGTATTAAAATTTTTATACATCATTATCAAAAGATAATCAACCCAATAAAAATGGGCAGACTCTTCTAAAAAGAAGATATAAGAATGACTAATAGGCATATGAAAATGTGTTCAACATTATTAAGAATTGGAAAGATGAGAAGTTAAACCAAAATGAGGTACCACTTCATGTACTTTTATTATAGAATGGCAAAAACGTACTTCTATTATGGGAGAATATTTTTTTTCGGGAGAATATTTTTGACTTATTTACCTGAAAACCAAAGTTCAGGGAAGATAGAATTTCGAGCCACAGAGTAAGTTCATTTAGAGTTTGAGGACTGGGACCGGGCAAGGAACCAAGGTTTTTCCCACAGTGGTTACTTTAGAGACCGGTATTCCCGGATGTCTCTGCTGCTTCCAACAGGCAGCTCTGGGGATTGTGACAGACACGACACGTAGATAAGTTCTCTTTTCCTGGGCTTCTCTGCAGTCTGGTTGACTAAGGATCTGGAATGGCCTGCCCTCCTTTCTCCTTCATCGGAGCAGATGAGGGTTCCCTGTCCCTTCCTTAAACAGAGGACAGGAGGCTGTCTTCTCATCTGGCCATCAAATATGGCTTATCTACTTTTAACAAGTGAGAACTGAGGGCACTAGAGTCAAACCTCTGTCTGAACGTGAAGAAATGATGACCCTTCCTGGCCCACCTCAGGACAGACAGTAAGTCATTGGCCATACTTCCCCCTTCTCGGTCAGTCGAGGGAAACAGAGTGATCTGCTGGAAATAGTTGCAGGAAACCTGTTTCTGGTACCTGTTGTAGTGTGGGTGTTCAACAGATTACAGCAACTTTTTAAGATTCTATTATTTTCTCATTCATAAAATGCAAGTTGTATTAGATGGCTTATTGGGCTTTAACGTGCTCTTTCACTGTTCTTGCTCATATATGAACATGTGTGTTTCGATTTTACAAAAATAGTTGTAAACATACATGCTGTTCTGAAATTTTACCTTTTAAAATTGGTGATTAATTATATAATTATTTTATTTATAATTATTACATATTGTATTATAAACTACATTAATTATTTTTATTTTATTTTATTTTTTACTAAGTTAAATATTGTTTGCTTGACTGTTATTACTCAGTGAAAAAAACAAAGTAACATGTAAAAAAACGAAAGCAAAGTCCAGTTCAAAGCACACTTTTACATGGTACCTGACATGTTTCATGGGGATGGTTGAAATAGTTCAAAGGAGCCTCAGATATCTGATCAAGTGTTGACATCCATCTATAACTTTATAAAGAGTCTGATCCAAACTGTCTTTTTAAAAGTGCACAGTTATAAATTGAAGCTTTACCAAAACAGAACTGTCAAACCACTTTTATTTTTTTATACAGGGGTTCAGAGTATTTCCAACACAGCATTATTTTACTTTCTTGCTATTTATAATAATATTTATTTCATACAGAATTCCAGATATAGACAGAAGAAACCAGACGGGCACCTATGGATTTTTTCTCATGGGCCTCTCTGAGCATCTAGAGCAGCAGCCTCTCCTGTTTGGGCTCTTCCTGAGCATGTACCTGATCACCATCTGGGGGAACCTACTTATCATCCTGGCCATTGGCTCTGACGTGCACCTCCACACCCCCATGTACCTCTTCCTGGCCAACCTGTCCTTCTCTGACATTGGTTTTATCTCTACGGTCATTCCCAAGATGCTCAATAATATTGGCTCAGGAAGTAAACGGATTTCTTATGGCGGGTGCCTGACACAACTCTATTTCTTTGGCCTCTTTGCAGATCTGGACAACTTTCTCCTGGCTGTGATGGCATTGGATCGCTATGTGGCCATCAGCCAACCTCTCCATTATGCCACTATCATGAACTCCCAACGCTGCATCTTGTTGGTGGCTGGGTCTTGGGTGGTCACTACCTTCCATGCCCTAGTGCACACCCTCCTGGTGACCAGGCTTTCCTTCTGTGGCCCCAATATCATCCCCCACTTCTTCTGTGATCTGGTCCCACTCCTAAAGCTCGCCTGCTCCAGCACTTATGTCAATGACCTGGTGCTCATCCTTGTGGCAGGAACATTGTTGATTGGACCCTTCGTCTGCATCCTTACATCTTATTTTTACATTGCATTGGCTATCCTAAGAATCGATTCCCCAAAGGGTAAGCAAAAGGCCTTCTCCAACTGCACCTCGCACCTCTCTGTGGTCTCTCTGTTTTACACCACAGCTATCAAGGTCTATTTATGTCCTCCATCATCCCCTTCAGGTGGAAAGGACCGAGTCTTCTCAGTAATGTACACGGTGGTGACCCCTATGTTGAACCCCTTCATCTACAGTCTGAGAAACAGGGATATAAAGGGAGCACTGGGGAAAATACTCAGAAGAAACATGCTTAACACTCTTTCTTGGGACAGAAAGGTCCAAATCTCCAAGATTCACAGTTGAGGGTTGAAAAATGGTCTAAGTGCCTAACCACTATAGTGTCCCTGAATCTGAGACTTCTCTTTTCCTCATATTTACATTTCAGGGAAGGGACCACTGACACCAGTAACCACTAATCATCCCTGTGAAGTGTCCATGCTCTAAGCAGTTTGCTACTCACTTTCACAAAGGTTCTTGCTTATTTTTACTAGATGCCTACCTGAAGTCCACCAGTAGGAGGCTTGTGTGTGTGTGTGCGTGTATATATATATGTGTGTGTGTTATATATATATATATTATGTATAATATATATATATATATATAAAAAATGTGAAAATGAAAGTGAAATTCTTATTTCGCTGAAGTCACAAAGGAACTATGGAAGATATCTCTAGTCCAAGAATACAGGAGTGATTGTGATTGGTAGAATGAAACACAAAGGAAATAATCTGACACTTTATCTTAAACAAGCAGTGATCTATAGAAGAATGAGGATGGGGTTGTAATTTCTGGGTTCCAATTCTGGCTTTGACATTATATATTGTATAACAGCTGGATAATCACTTAATATCTCTGAGCCTTGGTTTCCCTATTTGTAAAATAAAGTGATTGCATTATATGAGTTGAAGCCCCTGCATGCATGTTCCCCAGTTCTAATAATATTTAGAGTTATAGTAACAAGAATGCAAGACAACGTCAGGAGTTACAAGCCAGAACGAAAGCCACCACTTCACACTGTGTAGCTTTAGGAACATTCTTTCTCTGAGTTCTGCTTTCAGGTGTACAGAAAAGTGATTCAGTCTTACTTATATAATGTTCTGATTATTTTCCATTATAGGTTATTACAAGATATTGAATATGGTTCCCTGTGCTATACAGTAAACTTCTATTAATTATTTTATGCATAGTAGTTTTTATGTTAATCCCATACTCCTAATTTATCCCTCCCCTTCTCACTTTGCCCATTGATAACCATAAGTTTGTTTTCTATGTCTGTGAGTCTGTTTCTGTTTTGTATAAAGATTCATTTGTATTACTTTTTAGATTCCACATATAAATGACGTCATAAAATAGTTATCTGTGCCTCTACCAAAGTGCTACTCCTCTCTTCCCCATAAGGGTAAAAATTATTCTTTGACTTTTTATGTCAATTACTTCCCTTCCTTGCTTTCGGTTTAATTTTTCCACATACACATGCGTGCTTAAACATTATAGTTTGGTTTTGCCCATTTTTAATTTTTTTTAATTTGCCCAGTGCTATTGATGTATAATTGACATATAATGCTTGTGGAAGTTTAAGGTATAGAACTTAATGATTTGATAAACATCGGTGGTGAAATCATGACTACGATAAAGGTCAGTTAACGCATCCATCACCTCACATAGCTATGTTCTATGTGTGTAGGTGTGGGTGTTAGGAACATTCAGCATCTACACTGGTAACAACTTTAAAGTATATGACACAGAATTGTTAACTACAGTCACCATACTGTTCATTACATACCCAGAACTTACTCGTCTTATAAATGGAAATGTATAGCTTTTTCCCAAACTCTCCCCATTTTACCCACACCCTGGACATCACATATCTACTCTTTGTTTCTATGAGCTTGGCATTTTTAGATTTCACACATAAGTGAGATCATACAGTATTTATCTTTTGCTGTCTGACTTATTTAATTTAACGTCACACCCTCCAAGTCCATTCATATTGTCACAAATGGCAGAATTTTCATCTTTTGTATAACTAAGTAATATTCCACTGCTTATATATACCACATTTTCTCTATTGACAGTCATTTAGTTTTTTTCATATTTTGACTATTGTGGATAATGGTGCAATGAACATGAGTGTTAGTAATGTAGCTACTGAAAGGACTGAATGATATAAAAACATTTGAACACTTTAAACAGAATGCCTGGCACATAGTAAACACTCAACATATAAAACCTGTTATTATTGCTAACTATATGCATTCAGTTATGTCTGTGTCCATGTGAGTTTCATATTTTTGAGAGCTGACAAATATGAGAGATGATAAAAAATGTTCTGTTTCATGTTCTAAGGAAACTAATGATTTATGTTTCCAGAATGAACAGAGAGTGTAGGTAAAAGAGAAAATGTTTATTCAAGCTGGACATTGAGTATAATTAGGGTTGTAAGTCAGGTCAAGAAGGAAAACCTGAGAATATTTCATAATCAAAGCATAACTCCTGCAAATCAATAATAAAAGCACAGCAACCACATAGGAAAAGGGGGGCAACAATATAGTTGGAATTTTTTTTAAAAAGAAGAAACTAAAATGGTTGAAAAATATTTTTAAAATTCCTCCAGTAATACTTCCATCTAGCATTTCCATTTCTTGAAAAAATGTGTACACAAAATGTCTGTAAAAGAATATCCATGCAGCGTTGCTTTTGTAATAACCATCCCTTCTCCCAATAAAAGGAGATAGGTAAGTGGCATGAGTAGGGAAATGTGTATTACTAATGGTACATCTAATAATCTATTAAATACTTTAAAAATAATGAGGTAGATCCCATGGTGATATAGGAGGTCCATGATATATCTGAGAGAAACAAAGAAAGCTCCAGAACAAATGATCCCATTTTTGTAAAATCAAAATTCTACACACACACACACACACACATATATATATATGCATAGAGAGTGACAGATCACCAGCCCAGGTTGGATGCACGAGACAAGTGCTCGGGCCTGGTGCACTGGGAAGACCCAGAGGGATCGGGTGGAGAGGGAGGTGGGAGGGGTGATAGGGATGGGGAATACATGTAAATCCATGGCTGATTCATGCCAATGTATGACCAAAACCACTACTATATTGTAAAGTAATTAGCCTCCAACTAATAAAAATAAATGGAAAAAAAAGTGTCTGAATATGTACGGGTCAAAACTCTAACAGTGATTACCCCTGAAGAGAAATGGGAAAGATGAGAAACAGATTCTCACTTTTCATTTGATACGTGTTTCAGTGCTAAATATTTTTTTCTGAGTATTTTTCCCTATTTATTTATTTATTTGGATGTGTTGGGGCTTAGTTGTGGTGTCCAGGCTCTTTGTTGCTTCTCTCTAGTTGTAACATGAGGGTTCAACAGTTGTGGCACATGACTTACTTGCTCCACAGCCTGTGGGATCTTAGTTCCCTGACCAAGGATCAAAACCATGTCTCCTGCATTGGAAGGTGAATTCTTACCTACTGGACCACCAGGGAGGTCCCTAAATATTTTTTTAAAATAAGTGTGTGTTATCTGAAAGAAATGTAAAACAAGAGGCTACATCTTCAAGGACTCAGGGCAAGGAGACACCCATCTATGCCTTGACCATACCTGGGCTTATCTGAGATTCCACCTCACGGTCAAATTTTGGAGCACAGATCAGAGAACTCCATGTCCAGGATGATCCCCTAAGTTCTGGCCTCCCCTCCTGGGATCAGCCAAACTGCCAAGCCACAGCCACTAAAACTTATATTCCCACTAATATTGGAAGCGCTGCCTCACAGGCCCCAGTCCCCTGAGAAGGCAGTCAGTTTGGGTGATGACACATTTGGGACTATGAGGTGGTGGGAGCCATGGAATTCATGCAGAAGCGTGTAATAAAAAAACCTCCCGACGCCTTTCCCAGACATGCCTTCTTGCCCCTGCCAAGCAGAAGCACCCCCCAGGAGTCTTGGTGCTCAACCCTGTCAGCCCTTTCCTGACAACTTGCAACTGTCTTCCCTGAGCGGACAGATCCGAGCTGCTGTCACAACAGGATTTCACACGCCGCCTGAGGGATGATGGAAGTGCCAAGCCCAGCCCGTTCCAGCCCAGAGGGGTCCACAGTGAGGTGAGCATCTGCTGAGGACTCCACGCTCACACAGCCCCTCAGACACTCCCTACCCAGGCTCCCTGTAAATTCTGGAGGGAGGACCATCCTTCTCAAATTTGATCCTCCACACAGCGTGGCGTGTATTGCGACATTCGCCTTTGACTCCACGAGTCATCCTTCCCTTTCCCCTCACGGTGCCTCTTCCCTGTGCCATCCTCAGGTATTCTGTGTCTTGATGGACTCTCTCCCCTCCCCTCATTAAAACAGAGCCACAAAAATGAATGGAAGATTTACACAGTCAAAAGTGTTTCCTTTCAGGAACATTTTCTTGAGTGGAAAAAAGAAACTATCTAATGGAATTCCAGAGACCTCAATCAGGTAGGGAGGGATTGTAGGTAATCAGCTTTGAACGACCCAAAAATCAGCCCCTGTTCGAGGCGGTCTACTTTGTCTTGCTAAACAACCAACCCAGATTTTTCTTTCCACATCTGGGCACTAATGTTCCAACAGAGAAACTCAGAGAATAGACTGTAATATTATCCAAATGCTTAGGTTTCTTTAGAATGAAATGCTTTATTATCACCAAAGTCCATGGATCAGACTGTCAGAAGTTATGGGGACCTATGCTAGGCAGAAACCAAGTTCCAAGTAGAAATGTAAAACAAACTTCTCACTGTTTCATAAGACTTGTTAAAGGACTTGTTATGTCCATAGCCTCCTCTGTTATTTTATGAAGCTTCTGCATGAAAAGCAGGTGTTAATCATCCCATTTCCCAGATGAAGAAACTGAGCCCCACTCCCCCAAGAATGAAGTGATTTTTTTTCCAAGATCTCAGAGTGTTCATGGAAGACCTGGGGCCAAAGCCCAAATCTTTCAATTCCTGACACCAGACCCATTCCCACACCCCACCCTGCTTTTTCTTTATCTACATCTTTCTCTATAAAAGCAAGACTTTCCACTAGCAGTTCCCCAGTCTTGGCTGCACAGCCCCATGCCCCACACCACATGTCAGGAGCTGACATGCTGCACTGTGGGTCAGACAGAATGACTTTGGCCAGCCAGAGAAGAGTGAGGACTCCAAGGTTCCAGGAAGCCCCTCCGCCCCCACCTCTGGGGCTCTCTCTAGCTTCTGAGCAGCTACCACAGGAGCTATATGGACATTGCCCCAGGTACCAGCCACAGCCTGCTGACTAT